TCTATTTCTCTTTAAGAATGTTATAATACTTAGAATTGGTCAAACTTAGGACGAAGTGAGTTCATGATGAATTGTACTAAAAAGAACTCACTCACTTCTATACCTATTGATTTCAGCTTTGTTGCTTGATTAACCATTTTAGTCACATGATTATGAATAGACCGTGATTCAAATTTGTTAGTAGTTAACTCACTCAACAGAGTGCTTGAAATAGACTTATCAATAATGTCCAAATGTGAAAATTATTTTATCTTTGTCATAAATTCCCTTATTGTTGGCCTAAATACATAGTGATAAAACATTTAAACTAGTTCTTGGTCCTAAATACAACTTCAAACTCTTTAAATATGACCTTATTGTTGGCCTCACTATTGCTAGCTTAGTTATCCCACATGTTTGTCATTAAGTTCTCTGCCTTAGTCATGAAATTGTTTACCAATTTTAATTTGCTTCTCTTATTCAATTATGCAATTTTCATTTAAGGACATAGTTATGCTAAACTTACAAGTCTTCCTCCAATTGTGAGACTTTGTAGCTATATTTATTTATTCCATAGTTTGTCATAAGGAAATCACTTCCCTTTTATCAATTATTTTTAATTCTTTTGCAATATTAATAATTATGTGACTTGTTATAATTACCTTATTCTTTTTCTACCTAAGGCCATCTTGATTGAATTCATGGCTGGAGTAGCTATATAGGGGTAGCCACATATTTTGGGACAAATTCAATACATATATACGGAATTACCAAAATTACTAGTTAAATTTTTGTCAAGTGCAAAACAATCATTTATTTCAATTATATGCAACTTTTAACAGAACATCAATGTATGTTATCATTGACAATATAGGAGGGAGTTGGAAGCTCTAACACAATATCAATGGTAGACACAATGACACAGGGCAAATTTCACATAAAGAACAAGAACAGGAAAAAATATACAAGCGAATAAGAGGGAAAGGGAAAAAGGGTTAGGGTTTAATTTGAAATTATACTTAAAAGATTTATTAGGCAATAATCGCTCTCCAATCTTCAATTCTGAGAGCAAATCCATGGGTCACCTGCAACAGTTCATATGTCAACCATTGTCTTAAATAACAACATTTGAAGGCAGTTATTTAATAACTGCTATCCAAGTAATATTTGGAGAATGATTTCCATTAAACCGCTCTCAGAAGTAGACATTAGAAAGTGTTTCAATACTAACTGTTCTCTAAATGTCTTATTAGAGAGCAATTTGTATTACCATTATCCAAGTTTGTGCTCCATAAGCTTCTTCTTCAGTGGTTCCCAATCATAAAACTGAAATCATAGGAAAGCATAATGAGGACATCTTAAGGGATTGAGGTCTTATACTGAGAATTCTTTTTGGATGAGTTCTTTTTGGATGGTGAATTCTTGCATATGAGATGTTGTGCACACAGTTTAAATTTGGTTGTTAATGATGGCTTAAAGGACATGCATGCTTTCATAACAAGCATTCATGATGTTGTTAGATTTGTGAAGTCTTCACCTTAAAGACTAACTAAATTTAAAGAATGCATTGGTTTTGCTAAAATTTCTTTTAAAAAAATAGTATGCCTTTAATGTTCCAGTGAGATCAAAGACTAACTAAATTTAAAGAATGCATTGATTTTGCTAAAATTTCTTTAAAAAAAAATAGTATGCCTTTAATGTTCTAGTGAGATGAAACTCAACATATTTAGTGTTAGATTATACTGAGAAATTACAAATTATTTTTGAGAAGCTAGAATTTGAAGATGCGGGATATTTGAACTATTTTGGGGCTACTAGTCCCCTTATAAGCATTGACTGCGAGAATGTTAAAGATTTTATTATATTTTATGGTGCAACAAATATTTTTTCTACTTCTATTCAAGTCACTATACATGTTACTTTTTACCAATTAGCTTTGATTTTGTATGAATTGAAACAATCATCTATGAATCTAAATTTTATTATAGCCTCAATGGGATAAGTTATGAAAAGAAAATATGAGAAATATTAGGGTAATGTTCTAAACATAAATCATCTTCTATATTTTGGAATTATTCTTAACCCCCAAGTTGAAGTATGTTGAGTGGTGTTTTAATGCGTGTATTCTGATGACATTAGTTTTTCTAATGAATTAGCCCGTAGTGTGTAAAAGTCTGTGTAGATTATATAATTGGCATGCTACAGCTTATGAGCAACAAAATAAGGTGGTACAACCTTCGTTTGTTTTGATGGAAGGCTTTTCACAGGGTCAAATATCTAGTCTAGTCATACTTGCAATAGATTTGGCTAGAACAAATGTTTTTAAACAACATTGAAGGCAAAAGATTCTATTGACCAAACGAATGAACTTGATAGATGCTTTGTTGAAGGTTATGTTAATAAGGATGAGAATTTCCACTTGCTTTTATGGTGGAAACATAATTTCTCACATTTTTCTATTTTATCATCTATGGTAAAGGATGTGTTAGCTACACATGTTTCCACTGTGACTTCTAAAAGTGAATTTAGCACTAAGGGTAGGATATTTGACATATTTAGAAGTTCATTACTCCCTAAAATGACTTATACACTTATTTGTGTTAAAATTGATTTAGGCATTCCATATCAATTTATACACTTTTCTGTTTCTAATTAATTATTTTTATTGCAACAAAATCAAAAAATTTGAAACAAGTCTTCTAATGTTAGTGGACTTGAATCTACAAGTTCAATATCTAAATATATGATCATTAGGTGAAATACCCAACTGATCTAATTTTTTGTGAGCTAGTCTGACTCTAATTTTCTCATTTAATGTAGCAATTATACATTATGTATTTATAAATTTAATTGTATATTTATAAGTTTAGACATGTTTATATTTTTTGAATATTCACATAAATGACATGTTAGAATACCAACTAATAATTTATTTTGTGAGTTATTTCTAAATTTAATTTTTTATTTTAATGTATTATTGATGTATGCAAATTTAATTTTAGTTATTTGATATGTGTAGTTGTAAACTATTATTGTATTTGACAATATATGTAAGAGTACTCAACCTTTTAGCTTTATTGTCAACCTTATTACTTGACTATTTTTGGATAATTTATAAAATATAATAATTAAAATTACATCATTTTTGTATTTTCAATTATAATTTTTTAAAGTCATATTTACATATTTGCAGTGAAGGTTATTATGAGTAGTTATTATGTGACATAATGACAATATAAAAGAGCTTATATTACTGGCAACTTAAGCAAGATTTCTATATTTTTTTTCATATCATTTCTTTATATAGAACTTAGAAATTGTTTCTTATGAATGATGTTTGTGAAATTGATGCTACGATAATAATGCATACTATCAACTTAATTATATAATAAAATTAGTAGTTTGAAGTGCATACCATCAATTTAATTATATAATGAAATTAATAGTTTGAATACTAAAATAATTACTTGACTGTAAACATTTTGTAATTCTAAGATAACTTCTTTTATGGCATTTATGTTGTTGAATTGATAATTTTATTTATTATTATTATAGCCTTGTGCAATTGGTAGATTTAAAAATTGCTTTATTTGCAATTTCCACACTAAAAAGGCATGAAAAATAAGTTTAAATTTATCTTCTAGAGAACTTTACAATTTTTGCTTTGAATAAATTTTAATTTGCAAGTACTTTTTTTTTTATTTCTAATTAGTTTTGTATTCTTTTACAAAGTTTAGTCATTAGTTCCTAACTCTAAACTCATCACAGGATTCATAACAGGCATATTCTCAATTTTGACTCATTGTTAGAGTTAGAGGAAACAAGTTTATTTTGAATATTTTAAAACCTTTTTTATTTAATTGATGTCATGATCATCAGATATTATTGAATAATAGATATATTATTTAAAATCCTTATAACTTATTTTAATTAACTTAGCCAAAACAATTAATTGTCTATTAGTTGTTATGCACATGGAGTTGTAAATTTATAAACAATTGAAATACATACGTACTGATAGGTACATGTGTGATTTGTTTACTTGAGCTTACTAGAAATATAAGTTAAAGTTTTCAAATAGAGATCAAGATATAGTAAAGAACTATTTTCATAAGGAAAAACTCATGTTATCCCTTTGTATGTTTGATTATATGCAATTTACACCCTAACATGTGAAAGTGTTGTATGTTTGATTATATGCAATTTACACCCTAACTTGTGAAAGTGTGTAATGTGATACTTTATGTTTTTTAAAGTGTGTAAAGAAACCCTTATGTTACTTAGACCTCTAATTTCTCTATTTTTTGAATAAAATTATCCAAAAAAATGCATGTCCGGATAGGAATATTTTTGTCCAAGTAACAAAAAAAATTAAACATTTAAGTAATAAAAGAACTTTTTCCACATTTTCAAAAATATTGAGTGCGTTTGCCCAGTTTCAAAAGTTATTGTCTAAGTTATATATGACTAAATATTCAAGGAAGTTAAGTATATTTTTTCTTTTCAAATTTAAAAAATAAATAAAGTTAAACTGTAATAACTAACTTGATTAAACTTTTTTTTTTAACTCTAATCAATCTAATGAACTTAACTCAACCTTAGTCTAAAATATTATTGTCCTTAATTTTGGTCGGTTCTAAGCCTTCAAAACTGAATCCATCCGTTACTCCATCCTACTAACTACATAATATATTTTTTTAGTAATTAAACTTTTCAAATGATTACGGATGAAATTTTATTGGATTACCCTCGCCCCGACTTGGACCTTTTTTAAGAGAGAATGATATAAAAATTTATATTTTTATAAAAATTTGTTAAGTTTATTCTTTTTATAGGCTTGTTTTAACTCATTGATTATAAAAAAAAGTATTCAAATTGATGATGTAAATTTTCATAAAATTAATTTAAATATTTGTTGATTGAAATCTTTACATCAGCGTTGATAAAAAATAAAAAATAAAAAAAAAACATTGGGCATTGGGCATCGTTTCTAATATTTATAGGATTTAAAACCGGGCCAAAGTAAAGCACGAGACCAAACAAAAGCTTCGTGTTTATGTTCTGAGCGTGAAGTGAGTGTGGTAGTGTGGTCGGTGTCTCAGTGAAGGCGAAGAAAATATGTTGCAGTTCCCCGCTTATATGACCCAGTACCCATTGTCGACGAGGACCATTCCGACGTCGTTTCTGTTACCCTCTCAGTGGCCCCAACCCCACAACGAAGAACTTCTTCTCGCTATTGAAGAGTCTGATTTCGAAGAAAAGGTACTCTCCGACCTTCGTCTCTTCTTACCTTCTCAATTCTTCATTCAAAACGGCATCGTTAGCTTTTCGTTCACTTGACTAATTAAATTGAACCTCGTTCATTTCTAGCCATTATTTGCATATATTTATTCTTCTAGGTTTGGTGTTGCTGGGATTCGATTATATGATTCTGATTGTTAAATATTTCAATTTTGCATTCCTTGATTTTTATGGCATATATTTATTTATTTATTTATTTATTTTATTTTTTTTATGTGCGCATATGTATGTTTAGGAAGATTAAAGTTAGTTCATCAGACAAGAATAAAGGGGGCATTTTGAAGAGTTTACGGGCAGCTTATGAAAATAGCTTATAGCTCACATGTGCTCCTTTTAACTTTTTTCTGATAAGCTTCTTGATATGATTTATCAGAGTTAGCTTTCTTAGCTTATTTCAACAAGTTTTGTCATCAAATTTATGCCATAAACCTTTCTGTTATAAAAGTTTATTGAATAAGTATTTAATTCTCTTCTCATAGAAAAGCTATTAGTTTGCCACATTAGCATTTAGCCGTTTGTTTGAACTTAGCTGCATGGATTTGATTATTTAGAACCCAGTTGTCAGATATATAAAGTAGTTACTCACATACCTGAAGTGAGGTAGTGCTTATGTATCTGTATGCATGTAATACTATATATTTCTAAATGTTCAGTGCTGAGGATAATAGGCTTCAAGTTGCAAACCAATGCTCTTTGAATCACTCTTATTGTTCCATGCTTCTTACTTTTCCCTGTTAATGTTGGCCCGAATCCTTGCAGTGCAATGAAATCAGGAAGATGAACAGCAACCTGACTGTGATAGGGAAAACCACCAACGAAAATGATAAGGAAGACTTTGACAATGAGGCAGATGATGATGATGCTGACAACGCAGAGGAATCCGAGGGGGAAGAGTTTGAGCAAGAAACTAGTTGAGGAAGCTGCATATTAGATCCCACTCATATTTTGTTAGTATGGTTGAACTCCCGTGCCAAATCTTTGTATTGAGTATTGATTCCTCGTTCATATCATACTTTTCTGTTATATATGCTCTTTCTTGTGCTTAATCAAATACTTATAACCTTCAAGTAGTGAAAAAATGCTATATATCTTTTGTTTCAAAAGTCATTTACTGTTTTTCCATTTTCATTCATGTTTTTAAATATTTATATAGGAATAGTGAAAACAAATATTTGAAAACAGAAATTAAGGTAACATTTTTATAATTAAAAGTAGAAAAAGGGAAAATGTTTTCTAAAACTAAACAGATCCTTAATTATCACCTCTTTCCCACAGTGCCTCCTTTTCTGAGCCAAGTATCAATTTGGCCTATGAAAAGGAAGAGAGAGCAGTTTAAGTTCAACCAGTTCAAGAGTTCAGACAAAGACAAGAAAATACAGGGCACTTTGCCTTTAGACGAAAAGTGACTCTTGTAACAGCCGTTCCTACTCTGAGCTTCTTAATGTAACTACAGTGATGTTCCTTTCCCTGCCTTTTTATATTTTTTTCCTTATCATCTACCTCTGATCTTGTTTTTTTATCTTAATTACGTGAGCAATGTCATGAGCATTTTGTTATCATTTCTGATTTCGTGTAAATAATTTGTCTTCAACGCAACGGAGACTCGGCTAGCCACACCAAGCATGACTGCTTCTATTGCAGTTGCAGCTTTAGGAACATGGCTGCTAGCTGCATCTGGTGCCCATGATCCCACATATAGCTACTACACTTAAGCCTTATCTCTCATACTCAGCTATTCATACGTTTGTATGTTTCAATGATCACTCGGTAAGCACTTCTAATCTTCTACTTAATCACATTCATCATTATCTTACTCAGGAATCCAAGTGTCTTTGTACCTGCATCTTTACTATTCTTCTGCTACTTCCCACCGCAGAGTAGTCTATTCAGCTGTACCAATTAATCCACAATTGAACAATCATCATCATCATAATCTAAAAATATACTTTTACATTAAGAAATAGTTTTTCCTTCTAAAAAAAACGTAAAATTAACGAGCTTCACTCTTTGTATAAGGAAACTTTGACTTGCGAAAAAAGTCATGGGCGAAGACTTACCTGCAAAATATTGCAGTCAATGACGCATCAAACTCAGAGTTTCGATGAACCCAATTACTTATATCCGTTGAATACTGGTTATATATTATCCATCATTGATTGTCAAACTATCAGTAATACAAAAATATTAAAAGTTTTGATTTTAAAACAATTGTGGAATCTTATTATCCTGTTATTCTATTCATATCAAACAATCGGATTGCGATATAGCATAGACAAATTTGGACGAGGTGCTAATCAGCTTATAGGTGTGTTACAATTGGATCGAACAGATAGATAAATAGACCATGGATAACTATAATTCAATTTTGCTGCACGGTTCATCTGGGTAAAGGTTATTCTCCACTTACAATAAAGAAAAAAAGAAGAAGAAAAATACAGTTGCTTTAATGAAAAAGCCTTAAAATAGAAAAAAGTGCAGTTTTAAAAATTGGACCAGACTCGTTGGCCTGAGAACTAGTAAGATTGCCGGTCTAAATAAATAGCCTGAAAATTATAGCTGCAAAAAATGGCTCAAGCAGCAGTCAAATTGAACACAAATCGTCAAAAATCATTTTTTAATATTTTAATTTTAAAATATTTTTTAAATCAATAAAACTTGTATATGAAGTCTATTTATATATTATTATATAATTATTTTTGTGATTTTTTATCTAATAAAATATATAATATGATATTTTATTTAATTTGATATATATATATATATATATATATATATATTCACTGGTTTAACCTCAGTTAAATAAAAAAAAAATGAACGATGAGTCAACATCTTCACCAATTCAACGAATGATTCGACTTTTAAAATATTAAAAAATAGTAAATGAGAAACATATTCGAGGAATATGAATCCAAGATCATTGCGTTGATTCATAGTTGGCAAGACAGAAAGTTACATACACTTGATACAAAGAACCAAATCGGCTTTAATGACTTGTAGCGCATTTGCTTAATCAATTCTAACAAAAAAACTAAAAAGAAAAATAAAAAATGCCATTAAATCATAACTCAAATTCCATGTTAATTATATTTATAGCTGTTAAATTATCGTTGAATATCAAACTTGATTCACCGAACATTCATACAATCCAGCATTTGAAAGGTCAGGAATGCGTTGTTACATATTCTGAGGGTCGACAAAATTTAAAATAAAGTAACAATTATTATTTTTCATCAAGTACTTAGTTTAAACAGTATATGACAGATTTTCTTTAAATAAATTATTTTATTCGAGATTTTATGTAAAAAATAATAATAATCAATTTTAGTATGAGTTAACTTTACCATTCTATAAATAATTTAACTTAAATAGAATCACCTCTCATAGAAGATGATTGAAATTTAAACGAGAAAAGCTAAATCTTATCATTCATTCTTATCTTATTATTTATGTCGTACAATTAATTCAAATGCTTCCATAATTACAAGAAACTAAATTATGCACGTATGTATATAAAAAATGCGTCTAGTTCTATATTATAAAATTAAGTATTCATTTTTAAATGAAAAAATCTTTTAGAATTATCCTCTTCATTGAGTTATTGACTTTTCTTGCCTATCTTATTTTTTTTATTTCATATATTTTTATTTAATTAAGTTTTTGGTCTCCAAAAAAATTATAATTTTTTTTATTTGGTACCTTAATTTAATGTTTTTCTAAATAAATATTTCGTAAAATATTTTTTGGTACAAAATAATCTCTTTGGTTTATTTTTTTCATTTGATTCTTTTAAATATTATGGAATTTCATTTACTCTCTCATTTTCTAGGAATCAATTAAAAAATTCACGATATTTATGATAAGAAAATGAAAAATGTGATGGTTAGAGAGATCAAATAAAAACTTTATAATAATTAAGGAGACCAAATAAAAAAAATTACAAGTGAACTACTTGATAAAACAATATGAAGGACTTGTCCAAAAAAAATTGATAAAAAAAATTAAATGAAAAATAAAAAAAATTTACAACCAAAAATTTAATTAAGCTATTTTTTTCAAATATTATTACCTAACTTTAATGAATCTCAATTTAAACTTACATTAAAATTTTAAATTTAGCATTGAATCCATAAAATTATTGTTCAAAATATGTAGCCTCCCACCTTAAAAAGTAAAGAATTATCGTTATGAACCAAATAATTAACATTGCTCTTGAAGGATAGTTAAGTTAAAAATTAGCTTAATTGTATTTTTTTATTCTTCAATTTTAGTTTATTAATTTGTAATTGTGTAATTTTAGTTCTCGTATTTTTTAATTAAGTATTTTTTGTTAAATTGTCATCTAATTTTTAAATATGCAATGATTTTCTTCCTCCTCTTCCCTAATCGAATGCCATTGTTGATGGAGCTCATTCTCTTCCTCTCTCCTTAGCCAAATTCTGCCATTGTTTACAAAGTTCTTCTTCTCCCTTTCCTCCTAATTAGACTATACCATTATCGTTGGAACTCTTCTTCCTCCTTTCCTCTTGGTTAAAGTTCCATTATGAAGAGTTCTTTGTCATTGCCAAAATTCTCTATCTCTACCACCTCTCCACCACTCATTACATTCAAGAGATTCTTTGTTTTAGAGAACAAAAGGAACACAATGTTAATTATTCTCTTGTCATCATTGAAGGCCATTGCGAAGGGAGTTTTAGGGAGGAAATAACAAAAATACTAGCAATCTAAGCCAAACACAATTATGCAAATGTCGCTGAAGGTAAAACATTGTCTACAATGTCTTAAAAAATTAGATAGGGAAGACTTTCACGAGGAGAAGGAGAAGACAATTAAGGAGTTTATTGTCAACAAAGGTTTCCATGAATTTTTGAATGATGCGAGTGTTGAATTCATAGTTTGAGATTTGTAAATAAAATTTCCAGTTTGTGCCAACAAAGGATAATGAAATAGGGTGAAGGATTATAAGAGAGAACTTAAGCATTTAAATTCCTCTATTTTAAGTCTGTACATTTGTATAATTAACTTCTGGTAGTTTCTATTACTAGGCTAATTTCCCTTTATAAACATTACTCTCCTTTATATCACTTACCTTTTTTTATCATTCAATATTCTTTCACAATTCTCTCTATCTCTATCCTATCTCCCTCTTCCGCTGTTCCTCTAATACCTTTATAGTATCAGAAGCTCACGATCCACCAATGGCAGCCAAGACTCAATCCAATGTTATGCAATCGATGATTCCAGTTTCGATGAAGCTCGATGATGATAATTTCCTCATTTGAAAAATGCAAGCTACTAGCGCTTTGAAATCATTCAAATTACAGAAGTATGTTGATCATGCCAATCATGGATAGATATAATCAAAATACAAAAATGAGGATGACAAGGTTGAAGATAAATTCTGCAATGAATATTCTACTTGGGAGATACAAGATCAAATAGTCTTTATGTGGCTTCTTGCATCTATGAAATTTGGAAAGCGTTACATCTTTACTTTGAGATTCAAACTTGTGCATGCATTTCTCAACTCAAGATTTAGTTGAAAAGGATTAAGAAGACTGGTTCTTTGAATAACTATCTTCCTGTGAAAAAGAAGATTGTCAATACTCTTGCAACTATGAGTTCTTCCATTGATTCGAGTGAGCACATCCAAATCATTCTTGAACGTCTTCCAGTGAATATAATTCTTTGGTCACGTCCATAATCTCAAGAATGGACCCTTACTCTATTATTGAGATTGAAATGCTATTAACTACTTTGGAGGATAGACTTGAAAGACAACAACATAAGGAACAAAAAAATATCAATATGCAGGCCCATTATGCTTAATTTCAGAATAATTACAAAGGAAAGCATTAAGGTTTCTATAGAGGCAAAGGGAAAAACAATTTCAGAGGCAAAGCACAAGGTAAGTTTTAAGGTCATAAAGGTTTTAAAGGCAATACTCGTGGCACTAAGAAAAGCCACAGTAGATCTCAGTGTCAGGTTTGCAACAAACTTGGACACGTAGCTCTTAATTGCTATCACAGGTTGAA